GACTTTAGGTAGGGTTCTGATGATTAGATCCACGGACTCCTATGCAGTCTGCAGTGCTGTCTTCAACATCATCCTCGCCCGATTATCCGTAACTCAGGGTTAAAAACTTCATTTCCCTCTGATGTGATGGATGAGTGCTTGAGCATGAAGCGAACATGTGCAAAATAAACAGGGGGAGGAGTTCCGGCAAGCCTCATCCTCACACCAAATGCTGCCAGTCCTGCTTCACTCTCTGAGCTCCTGGTGAAATCATGTCTCACACGGATGGTGTTACCCTAATCCATTATTTTCAGAAGGTGTCAAGCTGGAGGCCTTGAGCTGGAAGGTGCCGCACAGAAATGAAATCCACTTGCACCTGGACGCCTGCACCCCTGGGAGCTCTCAGCAGTCGGAGGAAGGTCTGTGCCACCCAGAACAGCTTTCCCTGCAGGAGGTGGGCCATTAAGTGCTTTCTGAGCTCCATTAGTTACTCCTGCTGAGGCTGAAAAAGGCCTCATAAATGCACAAAAATTAAATCACCTACGAGATAAGGAATGAGATAGTCCTTTGCTGCTGAATATTATTTTCTGTTCAAATGCGCTAGAACCACACATGCGACGCCGAATCGGAGTCCACACCTGCAAGAAATGCAGCACTGACTGGGAGTTCTGCCCCCAAATCCAATGACAGCTCCTCATCTGGTAATGATCCTCTGATCTGGCTTCAAGTTAACATCACCTCACCCCCAGCACCACTCCAGGTGGAACCCTCACTACCACTGTAGCGAGCCCCAGGCCTTGGGCGGACTCAATCAGAGCACCAGATGTTTGAGGTCCCTGACTTAGTGAGGGCTGCACAGAGGTGCGATCTGGGGCAGATGGGACTCCTGGGAAAGGGAGATGCACTCCATTGGCTCCCCTATCCTCTCCCTGAACTTGGGAGAAGGTGGGTCTGGGACCTCAGTCAGCCCTCAGCCCTCTCAGGCAACCTGGGCAGGAAAGCAACCAGGAGGAGAGGAAAGCTGAAAGCTGGCGAGACATTGGATCCTTCTGATACTGTTTTGGGCCCAGAATCCAGTTGTACACCTGAATTTTCAATCATGCTAGCCAATAAGCCCCCTTTTTCTTAGATTTAGGTTTCCTTTCACGTCCAATCAAAATAGTCCTAATAGATAACCAACTAAATGGAGGTTTGAATTTACCGTTCAATTTTGGAAGAGGATTATCTCATTCTACACAGGAGGGACACTGAGGCGCAGGTAGGTGGCTCCTCTTACCTGCCAGGCTCCTCTGATTGTTAGCAGCATCGCCAGGACTAGAGTCTCTAGCTTTCTCATGTGCTGTTGTCACTGTACTGTGGGAAAAATCAACATGTAGGATTTCTATAAAACTTTTTTTTCGTTTTGTCAATCCTTATTGGAGGATATTATTCCCATTAATTTTTTGAGGAGAGTGGAAGGGACGGAGGGAGTGGGAGAGAGAAAATGGACATAAAAGAGAGACCTTGATTGGTTGCCTCCCACATGGGCCCAAAATGAGAGGGGAGTGACCTGCAACACAAGCATGTGCTCTTGATCAGTAATGCGCCCCCACACCACTGAGCCACACTGATCGAGGCTGATTAAAACGTTTGCTCCAACTGAAAGTTTCCTTAATATATATCATACTTTAAATGAATGTATAAATTAACATTTTAAGTGATCCTTTTCATTGTTGACTTTGGTCTTTAAATCACTTCGGAAAATGGCTACTGACAAATAGCACACCTTTAATTGCTATGGAAAAAGCCCCAACAGAGTATCTTGCACATAGCAACACTGGAGTTTTCTTTATTTAGATTGTAGATGGACATTCATCTGGTGTGGGATCTAATTCTCTGCAATGGCTTCTGTAAATAATGCTCCATTTAATAAAAACAGAAATGTCTTCCTTTCTCACCAACCTAATAACACATCTAAGATTCCACTGACATTGCCTTACAGAGAAGCTTATCACAAATGTTCTCTCGTTTTTCCTAAAAGATAAATTTATGGGAAAGCTGGACTTAAATGATAAGTAAGAGCTGTCAAAAGCCAAAGGCAGGAAACCGCCCATTCACTGCTCATCTCTTGAAAGGTACCTGGGTTATCCCTTTTAGCCATGGAAACTCACAAAGGACCCCAGTGGGAGATGGCAGTTAGTGACACTGAAAATACAACACATGTAAAACTTTCTGATCACACTCACCATCAAATAAAACATCATAAAAAGATAAAGGGATGCCCAATAATCATTCCTCTAGTTTCCAAGGGATAGGTAGATAAGGGGATATATTTCCATACATAACATGACAGATGTCCATTTTTGAATACTCACTTTGGGACAATAGAAATCTAGAGGTGGAATAGAGCTTAATTCTTATTGAGATGAAGGAGTAAACTCATCAGTTTTGAGCTTTATTCACTCAAACCACAATTTGTTTGGTCATTTACTATAGTGACTACAGCATCCTGAAAGATCAATACTTCCGATTATGGGCTAGCCTCATTATTTCATCTGACATTCTCAGAAATTTTAAACGGAATGAACCTGGAGTTTCCAGGTGAAAAATCACCACCTCTGAAGGTTTCCAAAGTATGTGAAATTTGTCCTAAAAAGAAAACTCTTGCTCACCCTATTAAAAATAGTGGAACATCTACATACAGCCAAGTCTCAATCATCAAATATATACTCGGTATCTAATGTATGTAAGACACTGAAGGGAAAAAAAGGGGGGAGGGTGAAGCCCTTGCTATGGAGGAATTTTCAAATCATGTGAGAGAAATGGGGAAGGAAGGGCTGAAAGACACTGTTTTGTGGCAGAGGGAAAATTTGATTTGGCCAGAAAGGTTGAAATGGTTGTTGCAAAAATGACAAATGGCATCACTCTGAGGACACACAATAAATAAAATAGGACATGTGCAGGAAGCAGCCGATTAATGATTCTCCTCATTGATGTTTCTCTCTCTCTCTCCCTTTCCCTTCCTCTCTGAAATCAATAAAAAATATATTTTAACAAAACAAAACAAAAAGACACCCCACTTGATTTATATTTGGATCTCTAGAGCTCTGGTTTCCTTCTATTTTTTTGATACTCAGAATAATGTTACAAATCAATTGTGTTTTTACAATTTGCATGTAGAAGTTTTCTTCAAATATTCCTAAAGTTTAGGGATTGGGAACCAGCAGGTTTTCACATTTTTACCAATGATATAAACCCTAAATTATATATATGTTGTGATTATTTTTTAAAAAGCAGGTTGATTAAATGTCTCTAGGCCATCATTCATTCATTTACTGATTCATTCAACAAATAATTAC